AGAGAGAGAGTGTGTGTGTGTGTGTGTGTGTGTGTGTGTGTGTGTGTGTGTGTGTGTGTGTGAGAGAAAGAAATTCTCAAATTTCCAAATTTACATAGACCAATAAATAAACTAAATTAATTAATTAATTAAATAACATCATAAATGCGTAAATGCATGGATAAATAAATAAACAAATAAATAAATAAATCCCACATAATATAGGCCTATATCTAGAAAATAGAGCACAATCAGCAGATTTCCTTTGCAATTTGCATAATCTATTCTGACTTTATTAAGATATTTTCTGCAGCAGGCATCATATCTGCGAGTCTAGAAAACAAACCGTCAGAACTGCTGATTATATCCAGCTTCCAGCTTTAAGTCTGAAATGTGATGAATGTGAGTGTATTAATGAAAACAGAACATCTACATCCATCTCTGAACTTTCTGTCTGTCAAACCTTCCCGAGACTGAAGAGTGCAGAACGAGAAAACTGCTCCTTCAGCGTCCTCTAGTGGTCACAGCTTGAAAATGCAACTAAATGCATGTAATTGTTTATTTAAAGATTATTCCAGAGAGATGAGTAATAATTTGGTTGCACTTTATTTTAAGGTGTCCTTGTTACAGTGTAATTATACATTTAAATACTGAGTAATATTAATTAACAACATGCACTTACTATATGGTTATGGTTAGGATTAAGGTTTGATTCAGGGTTACTTGAATGTAATTATGCGTAAATTATTGTTATTATAATAGTAAGTACATGCAACATGTGTAACAAGAACACCTTAAAATAAAATGTTAACATTATTAAAACTTCTGGCCAATGTAATAGTCAGACTAAATTAAACACATATTATGCTCTATCATCTGCACTAACATGCTGTCTAATTATGGCTGCATTTATGCAATAATGTACAACTTAATCAGGTTTTCATTCATTGTAATAAAGCTCAAATAAAATATAAAAACTTGAACGATTCAACTGAAGTAAAAATAAGTTTAAGCTGAAGTACTAAAATTGCTAAAGCTGAAATAAAAATACGTAAGAGCTAGATAGAAATATAAAAAAGAACTAATAAAAATAAAAGAACATGACAGAATTACTAAAACCTAAACTAAAATTGCAATCTGATGGAGCTGAAGTGATAACTAAAACTTAAAAATACAATAAAATAAAGTAAAATTTTGAGACAAAAATGAAGGTAAATCGAAATATTTAAAAACAAATAGAATTGGCCAAATGCACAGCAAAATTCCTCATTTAAAACTGCAAACTCTGAGTGATGGAGGCACCTGTCGCGGCTGCTCCGTGGCTCTCTGGAGGTCTGTCTTGACTTTGTTGTTGGGATGATTGACCACTTTAGTGACCGGCTGTTTGAAGATGGAGGCTGTTTGTCTGATGGGCAGCGCCGTGTTCAGATCCGGCTTCCCCTACAAATACAGAGACGCATTTAAAAAATACTCAACCTAAAGTCATTTTGTACATCAGGATCCAAACGCTGAAAATCTGCCGCTTTTGTCTCATTTCAACAGGAAATACACAAGGTTTTCAAAACAAAGAAATGTTATTATGATGTAAACAAATACATTTCGCACTATATTTCTATGAGACGAATCAGAAGTCAGTGAAAGTGAAGGATCGAACTGAACTCAAAGATGTGGTCTGGACAACTGCTGGACTGTTTGGAAAAGTTCAAGCGCGCTGCCGGACCAAGCAGCATTAATACAGAGAGCTTACAGAAGAACGGAGCGAGGCAGTGCTTCATAGCAGTCCACAAACAAAATCTGTTCACACTTCTTCAGTCACACCAGTCTCTTCCAGCGATACACTCATACATTACTGGATTAATAGACTAGATACGTCCTGTTGCTGACTGTTTTTTGAGGAAATATTACGTACAATAAGTGTTCATTTAAAATAAATACTAATTCATTAATACAATCAAAAATAAAAATGAAATTCGTTACAATAAAATAAATAAAATTCACTAAAATTGAATTCAAAGGAATACAAATAATACAGTTCATTAAATAAAATAAATAAACAAATAACTAAATAATAAGTATTATCAAATAATAAATTGCTGATTATTTTTTAGTTAATATTTAGGAAATATTATGTACAATAAGTGTTTGTTTAAAATAAATAAAACAAGTAAAATTCAATAAAATGAATAAAATAAGTAAAATTAATTTCAATAATAAAATTCATATGAATACAGTTAATATACATGAAAAAAATAAAATAAATAAATACTGTAAAAAGGAAAATTCCATTCATGCTCGTTTAGAGTAGAAGAATGAGTGATTTTCATGTTTACAGATCATTCACATTCAGCTCCGTTCTGTTGGTCTTGTTCAGCAAAATCACATTGGCTGTCATTAAACTGTAATACTGAAACAGTGTGTGTGTGTGTGTGTGTGTGTGTGTGTGTGTGTGTGTGTGTGTGTATTTTACGAGTCAGCAGTAAAGTC